AGTTCTACCTCAGTTCTGAGACCTCCACCATTATCATCACTTCTCAGTACCCCGTGCTCACAAGAACATGGAAGATGGACACTGGTCTCTCTACCCTGTAGCCAGGTTTTGCAAGAGCAACAACAAGGCTCAGTTATTGACTGTCACCCAGACCATCTGTACCCAACAGAGCTCCCTGCAGGGTGAAATTCTTTGTTTTAAAGCAATGTATCTAAAGATGATCTATCATCATTAATTGACACACTACACTTAGATTCACATCTTGGCTTTGTCCTTTGCAATCTGCCTTCTAGAACACCGAAAATTTCTACTTTTCTGTTTTTCCTTTGTTAACCACCTTACATTAGGGAAACTACAAGCAGTAGGAAACATGGATATGCCTATTGAAATGGGGGCAAAATATAGTTCAGGCATTTTCACAGTAAAGACATTTTTAGTAGTTGCAGTCGAGGAAAAAATCAACTAAAATGAAAATGTGGATGCTTCCCTAATAAAAACTCATGGGTGGGTTTCATTTATGATCGTATTACAATGGCATGATCTCAGACTCTCTCATCAATTTATAAATAGTGAAAAAAATCAATAAATAGTAATTTATTAATTTTTTCATTAAGTCAATGTGTTGGTGTAGAAATATGGCAGATCCCCAGGTATTCAAATGCTGCCTATGGTTTGCCCTTCTCTGAGATCCTCTTTCGCCTTTGTCAAATTTTAAAATGGTTTCAAAGATGAAGATCAAATGGGAAGAGAATAAGGTTTTTAACAAGGCAGTAATTTTTAACTATCAAAATTCTTTTCATTCTCTACAGATACATATCAAGTAAGACCGGATTTGTAAATTCAGGCCATGGTATCAAACACACACCCACACACAAAAATTGCTTTTGACAACATTATTATTTTGTACTGATTGGATCATTAAACAGTCTTTTACAGAAACTTTACAAATTTAAGTCCAAACATATCTTTTAGAGAATATAAGTCTTACAACATGACAGACAGAAGTGAATCAAAGCACACTTTCTCTTAGGTCGGTGAGCAGAGGAGGCATATAGAGAAAAGGAAAGAGAGAAAAAGTTTCTTTAAACAAGTGCATGCAAAGAACTAGAAAGTACTTTGATACTACTTTTTCCCCGAATAAAAATGTGCTCTCTTTTATGAAGGATGAAGCTGTAACTCAGTATCTCTGTGCTTCTGAGCGTGTTAATCCTATACAAACGATGAGTATGGAGCAGTAGCAATGAAATCTTACAACTCTTTCATTTGTTAAGACATGGAATCCTATTTTTAACATATGACATGAAAGATAAATTGCTATGAAATACCAAAGAATATAAGAACTAGAAGCCAGAAAATGAGTTGTAGACTTTGAAAATATATCATATTGTGGCAAAATGACCCAAATATTGCAGTTTTTATGAGGGTGCTCGCTCGCCTTCTGACCTTTTTTCTAGATTTGTATTTGGAACTAGAAGGATATATTTCCCCTTTTGGAAATCTCTTTAAGAAGGCCTGTGGACAACATGTGTTGGATCAAAAGTTTCAGAACTTTAAGGTCTTTCAAAGCCTTTTTTTTTTTTTTTATATTGCAGTTCTTTTCATTACAACACATTTTCATGATGGTTGGGTGAACTGTTTGGGAAAAAATGTGAACCTGCCAGAGTTCATTGGTTAAAAAATCTGAACCAAAGTGAAGTACATATTTTTAATAGTATTTCTCTATTTCTGTTTTAGAAGCTCAGAAGCACGAGTGGTTTGTGATTTTATCGTGTGTGTGTTTTTGTGCTTTTGTGCCTTACACATAAAGACAATGTTTGACTATGGAATAATTAGCCTGAAGCTGACACTCCCTTTAATATCTTGGTCACTAGGCAGAATGTGACTATACCAAAGCCACAGAAGCTCTTTCTGGATATTAAATGAATTTTTGTATTCTTAGTTTATTCGTAATTTTGTACTATATTTGCCCACACTGTAGTATCATATAACTATATGTATACAGCAAGTGGAAAGTATAATATATCAACTTAATAAATATTTATTGTATATGCACAGCACAAGTCCGGAAGACAGGGTGCAAGTAGAATCCTCTATTCACGTGTGCACGTGGTCTTTTATCATCTCAGGAGGGGAAAGGGCCAGAACATAGGGTGGAGCATGAGACAGACAAGCGGGGGGACAAACCAGGATAGGGACATGGGCAAAAGGGGGAGGAGCAGGGGAAGCAGGGAGCAGGCAAACTCATGGCAAGCCTGGGCATGTCCATGCTGTGCACTGTGTAGTGTGAATACAATGAAACCACATAATAACAGTAAAGTCCATATAATAACTGTAAGGTCCATATAATAAAATCCTGTCAATTACTGTATGTTTTTCTCCACGCCTGGAACTATTCCCATCACAATCAACTGTTCTTCATGTTCCATGGGGGTAAGGAAAGAAGGAAGTGCTGCTTTTGCATTAAAAAAATAATTAAAGTAATGGGGAAAAATTTCTTACTGGAAGAACAGTTGCTCAGTGAAGTTGAGGAAGGCCTTGAATTGACTATTTTTTAAAAATATTAGACAAATGTCTGCCAATGACACTCTGTGTAACTGATCCCTTAGAGAGCAGAGGGATAGATTAGATGACAATCTTAAGGTCCATTCCAACACAACATCTCCATGAAGTTCTGACTGAAAAAAGCCCAACACAAATATTTATCAGACTTTTTTTCTGTTCACATAGTTGGTTACTTTATGATTCTATGAAAGCAGTGAACTGGAAGGAACTGACAGCAAATGTTTTAATTTGGCAGTTTAGGGGGAAGAAAATCTTTGCACTGATTTTGATGTCTGTTGCTGGCAAAAAAATACGATCGAAAAGCTGCCAAAATGTCTTTGAGACAAATTAAGCCAAATAATTGTCTTTCAATGTGAGACATATGATTAGGTCTACAGCCAATCTGTGAATTCTTTACTTGTATCTTTTGCATTACCACCTTGAAAATCTATTTTGATATATGTATACACAGTGACAGAGAGGCAGACATGCACACCCACTTTCTTTAAGCAGTCAAACTGAGCAAAATGTGACTAAAATTTTATTATGCTGGTGCATAAAAATGCAAAGAGTTACAGATAGCATAATTTACAGAAAACCAAGATGGGGACAATCATATTATTATTTATTAGATGCATTTAACTACCTCCAGTTGATAGTTAAAACTGTACTCACGCAGAATTATCTGATTGCCATTACTCGAAGATGACATGGCACTTACCTCTGAAATCAGGAACTGCACATCAAGTGATCAGAGAAAAGTTGAAAAATACCAGCCCCTGTTTTCAGCAGAAACAGCCTGTAGACAAAGGCTTGGCAGCTTCAGCTACAGGGTGATTTCAACCACTTTATTTCCAGCACTTCTAAGGGTGATGAAGAGTCAGACTTGTAGGCAGCTTGCGCTCTCCAAAATGGAAAGGGATTCTTCATCACCTTGCACACATCAGGCAGAAGAAAAGCTTATATCCAATGTACAATCATAATAGCCAGGAAAAATATCGCCATAGCTGCTGGCTGATGTTCTCTGCAACAGTCAGAGAGATGAACTTTCAGCTCACTTGCATGAGGTTAAGGACATTCAAACCACTGGTAAGACAAGACTTGAGTGTCACACTGGGTGATACCTAAGTGGACTGAAATCCCAAACATAAAACCAATGCGAAAAACACCGCAAGCATCCCCCATACCCCCTTGCTCCCCAGCCTGACCTCTTAGTTCTCGTTTCCCAGAAAATGAATCCAACTTTTCTTAGAGAACAAGTTTTGAAAAATTATGGCTCTTTCAGACTCTGTTATTAAGAAATATGATGTCACAGATTGTGGCTGGAAAACAGATATCTATAGCTATTTTTTCTTAAGGCTTAAAGGTGTCAGGAAGTGATCCAAGTTACTTTAAGTATTACAGTAATGCCTTAATCACTTGCACTTCTTTTCTTCCTACCATCATAAGCAGCAAAACCAAAAATGGGCATACCTCAAATTTCTCCTGAGAATCTCACAAAATTCTTTCAACATACTTATCATTTTTTAAAATATAAAATATTTATATTTCAATGTTTTAGTGCTTCCCCTGCTTCTCCTTTTAGCATCCTTTTACCTAACTTGTTTGCAAAATTGTAACTTTATGAACATGCATTTGTTTTGCCTTTGACTATCTTCCAGTTTTGATTAATACTTTTCTGTCTTAGAGCAGTTATTTAGGCAAGCAGTTACTTTAAACTCCTGAGTTTCAAGTATAAATTTATTGGGTGTCATAACGTGTTTGCACTTAAGAAATGCAATGAAGTATGAATTAACCTTATTATTTGGGCAACTAATAACTGTTAGATCATCTGTTAATCTTTCTTTATTCTAAAAAAAAGAGTACAATTATATTTAAAGTATAGCAATATCAAGCATGTTATTATTAGACAGGATACTAACTGATACAGTTCAGTTATCCTGTAGACAACTGTCATTGCACACAAGTAGCTTTGAAATCTCCTCAGAATCCTTTTCTTCTGCAAGCTTTGCCAGGAACAATAAGAATTAAGTGTGCTGAAACTTAATATTTTGGAACTGTGCTGATGTGGGCGTAAAGCAAAAGCAAGAGGTTTTCAACAAATTCAGGACAAGTAGTTTGCATACAAATGAACAATTTGTTCTTGAAAATGTTCTTTCCGTCTTGTTTTTCTATTAAGCGTAGTCAGGGACAATTGTTGTTATAAATTTTTATGATTATCGTGAAAACTTTGTCAGTGAAAACCAGTGAGAACTTACTGTGGGAGGATTTCAACCCTTCCAACTTTCTGGTCAACATCCGGTAGCAACTGAAAAAATAACCCCAAAAAATTAACTCCCACACTTTCATACACTGTATGGCAAAGGACAACAGGGTTTTTGGGATCTCACACTGCAGTCTTACTCATAGTACTAGTAATGAGCCCTATGTGGCAGAACTTTCAGACTCAAAAATTTAGTAAGCTTCACTAAGTGCCTATGTCTACATGTAGAAAAAAGAACAAATTTTAAAATGAGTCTCCAGCATATGACTTTATAGTGCTCCTAGCAATTTCAGATATTTTGGAATGCCCTCACAGAGGAAATGATTTTTAATTCAGGCTGCAGTTTCATCTCCACTTATGCTAGTCTTTTGCACTATCAAGTACTAATTTGATTTTGTTCAGACATGGATATGCCATTGCATTGCTGCTGAACTGGTCAAAAATGCAATATAGAATTTATATCAGCTTTCTTCTCTTACAGGGGTTTTATGTCAGCTGTAGGAGGAAAAATGACATCTGATCCCACAAAAAGCTGGTAGTACAAACACAGGAGTGGCTGTGGCATTTCCAGTCCTATAGCAAGAGCTATGAAGCAAGATTTACTGTATTGTCAAGCCATGACCTGAGGGTTTGAAGGAGCTTGGTTAGAAGATTCATATTGTCACATAATAGGATCTGTTGAATGAGATGAAAGGTTGGTATTTCACACAATAATTTGCAAACCTTCATTTGAAAGCCAATAGGTTTTGGTTTTCTTTTCTTTTTCTTTTTTTTTTTTCCTTGGTGAAAATGGGTTCTGTGCATTTTTTGCCTCCAAATTTCAATAGATTATTTGCAAATGATACCTCAAAAATTTCTGGACAACATGTGATATGTCCTTTTCTAAGAAAACAACAACAAACTAACTCATGCTAAACTTCTTCCTAGTATGTCTACAAAAAGAATGTAAAAAACTTTATCTTCAAGGTAAATTTTAGTGAAATAAGAATTATAAATAATGACAGATCTATGTTTCATATAAAAACAATTGAAACTAGGAGCTGTAGTCAGATATTTCCCACCTTTACAAATGGCATAGTTCTGCTTCAAGATAAAAGTGGATCTCAGAAAAGGATATTCAAGTAGGAAAAATAATTTAATGATTCAGTCAGGTCCAGATAAAAAGAAGGTTGTTTCTAATTAAAAAACTCATTCTATCTTTCAAGATTGACTCTTGTCTAGCACTGAATGTTCCCCCAGTCCTGTTTACTGTTAGATGCTACCAGATTACTACAGAAGTACCAGACAGATACTGTTAAAATCATTAATGTGTATGAAAAATTTCTAGGAGATTTTACCTCTATGGTATTTTTTATTATTTTTTTCAAATTTCATTTTATTTCTCCATTTTGGTAAGGCATTTAGGTGAAGTATCAGGACTGTAACAGAGTCAATAACCCCTTTTTTATTTCTCCCCTTCCCAGTAAAGTAATTTTTATGAGCAAAAATCTATCATATTTGACATGGAAAATGTGACTGGTATCAAGTGACAGGGTATCAAATCTTCTCCCTTCCTTATCTATACTTGATCTTCTCTCTCCATTTGCTTTATTTACAATGTAAGATGTAAGTACATATTTTGGGAGACAAATTCTTGGAGATACTATATAAAAATTGATGTTTTGACTAAATTCATTACTCAGAAATATTTCTTTGGCTTAGCAATTTTTAACAAAAATTATTAACAGTTTTACCGGGTGTACTATTACGGCCATGTCACAGTACACAGTCAGACATTCAAAAGCAGATCCCCACTCTCAGATGTTATTGTTTTTTTTTTCTGTAAGTCAACACTTCCATTAAAAAATACTATTTTTTAAAATATGTATGGGGGTTTCCACCACGTTTTGAAGATTTACAGAGTTAGGCATGCTCGCAAGTTGCAAACCTTAGGACTGAGGGATATCACCAAATACAAACCAAATAAGCTTCCCAGATCAAGCCTTAAACTAAATAGTGGTGCAACAAGAAGCCAACGCAGTCTTTAGAAAAGTCACATGCAGCAGTCTGACTGTCTAATAAGCTGCCTGGCTGGCCAAGAATACCACTAGGAAAAAAAAATCACACTTCAAAGAATCAGGAGGATGTCTTCAACAAGTCAGAAATTGGTTTTTGACCTTTCTGACTCATGTAAGCTTTCAGGATTCCCACCTGTGGTTTCTTTTCTAAATGATTTGATGATAAAAAGATAATATTTTTTCTCCTTTTGAATGGAAGAAACTCCTCCCTTTTTGTATTGGCAGTAACACTGCTGAAGCCAGCTCTGTCCAGTATTGCCTTTTCAGAGGTAGAAACAAGAACTATCTCTGGTACATTTCTCTGCTACATTTCTCTGCATTGCATTTCCTACAATATTAACAGCCTGAGTAATAGAAATCTTAACTGTAATTGTGCATGAATATATAGTAACTGTAAAATGAACATTACAACCAATTTGAAATTTTTTTTTTTTTGGTACAAGATAAATTCAGCATGAGTGATGATTTGCTTTTCAAAGAAATAAGACGTGCAGTTAAAAATTCAGCATTGACTAAAGTCAATGTTATCAAAAGGCAGATTAAAGATTGGATATTGCCATATTCCACAGCTGGGACAGAGGCCTGATTTTCGAAAGTACTGTTAGTCATGTCCCTTTGAAATGGGCACTACCACTCCGAAAAAAAAAAGAAAAATAATCCCAAATATCTGTCCAGCCTCAAAATCTTGGATTTAGATCATTTAGGAGTTTATTTTTTCTTTAATGCAAAATGCCAATAAAAGCAAAACTCAAGAATCGCCATCATTGTACTCTGTTTCTAATTATATGGAACATGCTAACTGAATCTTCAAGAAATACTAAGGTATTCTGAGCAAAACCTATGTGGTGTTGAGGTCAGAGGATCTGCATATGCTTAAGATACTTAACACTTCACAAGAATAAACATCTGGAAGTGTCCTGCTGTAGAATTAGATTAAAGTATAAATTGGAAAGAAAATGTAAGTAATAAGAAACACCAGAATTTGGACTCATTTGGAACAAAATGACTGAACAAAATGTTGGAATCCATAACTGAGATAAAACTAGAGGGGAACTTGCTAAAACTCCCCCTCGGATGCTAAGCATTTTTTTTTCCCACAATCCTTCATTTTTATTGAGAACAAGATAACTTTCTCCCTCAATTCGTGATCTCCTGGCAAATAATCAAAAAGATTACAACTTCTTTCTGTTTTTAACTTTCATCCTGCTGAGAAACTCTGAAACACTTTCAGCAGGTCGTCCAGACAGTTCTAGTCATTATGTATAAGAAGAAGTGTTCTTGAAGTAGTATGTATGAGAAATAGAAAACAATTTTGATGGTAGGAGCTTAAAAATCATACACAATACTGCTGAAAGTGCAAAACAATGTAGTTAGTGAGAAAATTTATGAAGCTGTGAAAGCAGAATAAAAAACTCAGTCGTTGATTCCAGATAGTACTTTGTCCTTTTTTTCTAATAATTCCACTGCTTAACAATGTAAATAATGTTTCTGTGTACTGTAAAGCTGTATATTTTCTTGCATTTTCCTACTACTTTCCTAGAAGACTGCTGTCTCCTTCTACCTGTTGTATCTATGGGGGAAGTTTCTTTGTGGTAGCATTGCCCAGTACATCTCCTGTGATGCAACAACACATGCATAGGTCTGCCCTTCTTTACTTTTTCTATTTTGCCCCAGACTTAGATTTCTTACCAAAAGCTTCAGCACAGCCTGCCCCTCTATTTTTAGGTATAGTGACCTTGCTAATAGTTAAGAAGATTCTGAAAGATGTCAGTGGGATATTTTTACTGTGGATTGAAGATTCACCAAGATCATTCTGGCTGCAAGGATTTTTAGGGGGGAATTTACTGGCTAGTTAGGATACAAATGCAAGGAAAAGTTAAAATGAATTTGAGAAATGTAGGATGAAGAAGACAATTTTCATAACTGGACCCTTTTTAACCTCTTTTTTGCAGCATTTTATTTATATTTTGTAAGGTGCTTTTGAGGAAATTTTATTTTTTGTCCAGAGCAGTAATATGCAAAAACTTCAATTTTCCTGAAAAGAAAATCAAATACTTTTCTAAACTGCAGTGATCAACTTCTATCAACTTTCTATTAATAACAAAATATTTAGAGCAGGATCAAAAATTTTTAAATTGAATATGGCTCCAGAATATTTCATATATTTAAAATGCCACCCCCTATTCAGTGCTTATGACTGTGGCACAGTATAGCACAAGTAACTTCAATGTATTGTGGATAAGCCCAAATACAGCTCCCTGTGTAGTCCACAGAAAAACTCCCACTTACATTACTGAGAGCAGAAGCAGGTGGCAATAGCTGATGTGTCATTAGATTTATCTTCTGCAGCCTAGGACCACTTCTGTGTGGCATGGTTCATTGCAAGTTACAACATAAATTATGAATCCAGGAGAAACTGGTTGCAAGTTGCAATTACTGGAATTTGTGTTCTGCTTCTTGTTCTTTCTTTTAACTGCTGACATTGGGTTAACAGTAAAAATAATGTTTAATATCCCATCTCCCTGTACTCGTTTTACCAGTATTCCCTCCTCTATTGCACAGAAACTTTCTGCTGCCCCTACCCTCCGCACTGTAATAACCTAAAACGTAAAAATTAGATTCTCCTTTCCTCAGTCTTCTCATGTGCTCAGTTGCTGAGTTTTGTTACCCAGCGGTTGAATTCAGCCCTAGAGCTGGCCAAGTTCAGTGCAGAATAAAGTGATTTCCATGTTGCTCTCTCTGCAACTCGCTGTGACAATAATGAAGCATAGGTCAGTATGGTTTTCAGAGAGCTGAAAAAATGCATCAAAATCTGTTCTCATTAAGCAAAATTCCCAACGAAATTCAAAGCACAATTAATGACCACAGAACTTTGCCAAAAGCAGTAACCACTGCACTAAATGAGACAGTGCTGATTATGCAAATAAACAACCACCCTGGAAAGCTTGTCTATTGTCTAAAACAATGCATTTTTAAGATTATTTATGTTACGATACTGATCAGAAGTGGAGCCTTATTATGCTAGATCCTATATGAACACAAATTACAGGATTGCACTGTAATTTGATACAAGATTCAATGAGCAATAAACCACAGAAAGAGATCTCAGGTCTGAGGCATTTTTGTGCATACCCAGTTTATTCATTATCTAACAATATTTATAGTTATTACAATTTTGTCTTTAGTAATCGAAAGACTGCTTGAAACTGAAAATAGCTAACTCAATCCAGGCAATTAAATTAAAAGCTTTGCCATGTGAAAGCTCTTGGTACTGAAAGCATATTTATTTTATTAAGGAAAACATGAACTTTTTATTGGACTGCCCAAGTAGGGAATATAGCATGTTTCAATGGATTACACTCTCCCAGCAAAGTCTTCAGCAAAACTAGAAAATCTTGCACAAAACCTTCAATTGTTAGTTATACATTACTGCAATGTGCACAGAGATTACAGATACAGTGTCTCAAAAGACATCCCACTGAAGAAGCTATAAGGCGGGAGAGCACTGAAGTTTCACCTTGGAAAGAAAGATTTAACTCTTATTATTTATAAAAAGCCAGTGCAAAAGCCACTTCTGAGTGTCAATCTATTTTGTCTTCTCCTGGTTTGCATATCTACATATTTGCTTCTTTTAAAA